ATACCCTCTAAAGCCACGAGCACCCATCTGTACGCATTGCTTTCAGAGTCTCCACCCGGATTTCATCCACACCAGGAAATTTCCCATTCTTCAGGCTTGCAATGGCCTGAAGAACTTCCTCCGTGATGAGACTAGATTCCGCGCTAAGAGGCTCCAGGTCGGTAGGTCAGTGTCCACTGTTGGTGGGTTTAAGAGCTTTTCAAAGTGTTCCTTCCACCTCCAAAGTATATCCGCCTCGGCAGCCAACACCTTCCCGCTTCGTCTTTGGTGACCCGGAGCGTACTTTGCCTGCCTTGCCGTAACCTTCGAATGGTTTGCGGGAACACCTTAATGGCAATGCGGTGGTCTGATTCCATTCGATCTCCGTATTCCTTCCACGCCTCCTGTTTCGCTTTGGCCACAACACTACCAGCAGTTCGTCTCGCCTCTGTATCGCACGCGCTAGAAGAATCAGACCTACTGGACATGTACGCCCGGTAGGCTATCTTCTTAACAGTAACAGCCTCCCGGACCGCTGGTGTCCCCCAGGTCGTTCGCTTCGCGTTACCGTGAGCCACTCGGATGCGCTTCTCTCAACACACTCTTGCTGCCGCCGTCGAAACACCAGATCGAAATAGAGTTCATTCGGACTCTACACCTGACGTCTGTGGAGGCAGTTGGGAGAACTTCTCGCCGAACTCACTCGCAAATTCGTCACGAGTTCCCTCATCGCAAAGGGTTTCCCACCTCACTCGTCTTTTAGCGCGTGCGGTTCTCTTCCTCGTTCTGAGATTTCCCGGATCCAGGGTTTGCTGACTACTAAATGATGATCGGTGATCAGTTCTGCTCAACGCAACACCCTCGTATCCGTCACAAGATCCCACGAGTCCGCCGAACCGATCACTTAATCGATCGGCGATTGCTGGCACGCAGTCCCAGTCCGACTATCAGACCCCCTGTGCCGGGGAAACTTGTCGATATCTTTGTGCTGCAAGAAGGTTATCTTTGATGGTCAGGCCTTTGCCAGCACAGAAGTCCGGCAACTTTCTGCCACTCCCGTTCGGCGTGGCTTCCCCAATTCCACCGATCACGCCACTCCATGCAGGATCGTCTCTCCCAACACGTGCATCGAAGTCCCCCATCGGCACGACGCAGTCGCCGTTCGGAATCTTTTCAAAGGTTCCATCCACCATCTCCAAAAGCGCATCGTAATCGGGCTCGCCGTTCGGCCCGTAGACCCGAACGACGGCCAAGACTCCGACTTGCTCCAGTCTGAGGCGGATCAGAGCGACACGCTCGCCGACTGGGTTCCATTCGATGACGCTTTCGGCCGGTTGGGGACTGATGAGTATCCCCACTCCGGCCTGAGCAAACACGGTCGAGTCGACCCCTCTCCATTAGAGGGTCCATCCGCGGTCTAAGGAAATGGAACCGGTGCCTTTCCTCTTGGTTGAGGCTTGGCCAACTATATGTAGTCGTTTCCTCCTCGAGTTCAGGCTCCTTACCGTCGAGTGTTACCGGAATGTGTGTAACGGCTAATTATGAGAATGACAAATGATGCAATTCAAAAGTATGAGTCTTCTGACCTTCCCATAATATTTGTTTCATGTATCTCGTCTTTACATAATGGGTGCGGTTTGCGGGTGAATTTTTTTCATTCTGTATTTTCCTGCTGAAAATCGGAGATTCCCGCTTCGAATCGTGGAATTCAAGGGGAATCCGTCGGCAAGGACCTCGGACCAACCCAGACGGCCGGCATCTTCGGCATTCAGCGGTTCAAATGGCTCTCGACGAGGAGAGAAGCGGCGACTCGACGGAGGAGGTCTTCCGCCCCACGGTTGGAGGTCGGGCGGACGGACGAGGCGTCGCGCCCGCTGCGCTTCTGCCCTCGCGCGTCCCCATCTCTCCCTTCCCCTCCGTAGGCTGCCTCCTCTCGCGTCCTCCACCGTCCTCCCCGTTCCGGATGACCCGAGGGGGTGTGGATGTTGAATTGCCTGGTGCCACTCGAAAGAAATGTCGGAAACATCCAATTCTTTCTTTGGCATCGTTCCTTACGATTCCAATAATTATGCAGAATCGAGCGTTCATAAATCAATTGGAACCGACATCGCGCTCTCGCAACATCGATATTTCCGTAAAAAAAACCCTACCCCCTCATTCACCTATATTCAACCGCTTTTTCCCACCTAATCTTTACCTGAAGGGCAACCTGACAGGTTGAGAAAGGGGGGAAAAACGGGGGAAAAGAGGGCTTTCCCCGATTTTGATCTGAAGCTCCAGGGAAACGATTCCTCCGCAAGCAGGATTTTGAAAAGAGATAAGACCGAAAGGTTAAATTCCGGTTAATGCTGGGGTTCCTTCCCCCTCGCACCTTCGCGCTCGTCTTTATTATCCTCGTGAGACGCATCGGAAAAAAATTCCCCACATCGCTCGGTAGTCGTCACGATTGCAAGTCAGTCTCGGTTAGTGTCAGTGGTTCGGCTCGTTCTCAAAAATGTTCTTTGTGTTGTGATGCGAATTGGTTCCTTTGACGTGAGGCCAAGCTTGTCTCAGGGTCGGTGAACTTTCAGCTGTTCAACCCGGAATAGTCTAGCGCAAAAGTGCATGCAGGATTCGGAGACTAATGGTCAGACCGAAAAGTCGCGAGCTTAGAGATAGATTTCGCCAACTATTTCACGATGAGATTCTCTTGTGTAAGTCATGCTTTAATTCTTAGATCGCGACACCCATGTGGGTGCTGTGATTAACATATTTTAATCATTGTCTCAGTGCTAATGTAACACCTATCTGATAAGGTGACAAGTACATCAGAGTATTCTGGAAATAAGAGGTAAGTTTGGGGTAAGGGATATTTTGCAGGTGACAAAAAGTAAATGAGCCGGAAATTGGGGGTAGAAGTTAAACACTGAGGTAAAACTGCGGTAAAATATAGGTAAAAACGCAGTAAATAAGAGGGGAACGGTAAAATTCGGACGGTGAAACTGTGGTTAAAAAAAAATGGGGGTTAATAACCCCTTTTTTTTTTGCCCCGAATTTTACCTCAGGTACTTAGGTAATAAATTTTTTTGTTAGGGTAAGAGTGCCATTTTATCGAATCGGGGTTTCGCGAAATGGCCATGTTCCTGCCGGAAAATGTGTTACAGCTTCTTGACGAAGCGACGAAAGATACAAATCGAAACTGCGTCTTCGGCTATTTCCATAATATTTATTTAATATATTTCGTCTTTACATAATGCGTGCGGTTTGCAGGTGAAAATTTTTTTCCCTTCTCTCTTTTCCAGCTTCCGGCATCCTCGGCATTCAGCGGTTCGAATGGCTCTCGACGAGGAGAGAAGCGGCGAGTCGACGGAGGAGGTCTTCCGCCCCACGATTGGAGGTCGGGCGGACGGACGATGCGTCGCGCCCGCTGCGCTTCTGCCCGCGCGCGTCCCCTTCTCTCCCTTCCCCTCCGCTCGCTGCCTCCTCTCGCATCCTTCACTGCCCTCCCCGTTCCGGATGACCCGGCGGGGTGTGGATGTTGAATTGCCCGGTGCCGCTGGGAAAAAAATGTCGGAAACATCCAATTCTTTCCCGAGGCATCGTCCTTCGCGATTCCAATAATAACGCGGAGCGTTCCGACAAATCAACCGACATCGCGATCTCGCAACATCGACGTTCCTCGCGGAACTCCCTCGTCGCCGGAATCGTCTTCCGAATCGATTCCTGGCGAAGCCGACGACGCAATCAAATCGGCAATTCTCATTAGCGATTGCTGAATTCGTTGGCCTCTGCTGAATTTCAGGGTTGTCAGTCGGCATTAGGAGGCTTCTTTATTGCACTAGTTTTATTTTTGCCCATTCAGCCACGATGTGCACATATGCCATTTGCTAATTAGCCATTCAAAAGGCCATTCAAAATATCGACCTAAAAGTGCCTTGAATGAATTTTCAAACTCCGCGCGCACTGCGGCATATTGCCAAATTGCATGGAAGGTGAAGGTGAAGTTCAGGAACATTATGACTCATGCAGTCAAGCGGAAGGAAAGTTGCACGAGAAACGCAATTTCGCGAAAATGTTCTCAATTTCTATTTATTTATTTTTTGGTTCCAATTTCTCCTCGCAAAAATTATTGTACCGAGGTAATAAATTATCATATCACTTTTTTAAAATTACTTCTAGAATGGAGAAAACATTTATTCCTCTTGTGAAGATTTCGTCAGAAATTTTTCCCGAGAATACGCGGCAAAGAAGGAAAACCTCGGCAGAATTTTGCGATAGTCAACTACATCGAGGCACGGAGAGCATGACTCGAGGCACGGAGAGCATGCCTCGTGGCTTCCACTCCCGCTCGAATCCCGTTCATTGACAGGGTCGCCGTGTGGATGTCGCTGTCGGCCCTCTACCGAGCGGCCGACTCGACGGGAGACGCGCGTTACGTTGAGGGATGACTTTGGGGTCGAATCCCCGAACGAGTCGATTCCCGAAGTGTTGTTGATGACAGACCACCAGATGTCTCTGTAATAATTCGACCCCCCCTACCCCGCGGAGTGTCGCCTCTAGTTACACTCGCTACTCTATGATAGAGGTCTCTGGCGATTACAGCAATGGGTTGCGGGGCAAGGAGGAGCTTTTTCTCGTGAATCTTCGATCCACGCCAAAATCATTGGCAATGCCATTCTTTTTGCAACGGAACGTCGAACAATCGCCAATCTCCTCGCGATCGGGTCCGGAGAAGGACGCGGAAGCGAGAGCGAAGAGGAGCGGCGCAGTTTGCTCGGGGGACCACGTGGCTCCCATGTGTTCCGCCGGGGAGGATGCTCGCCCTTGGGCATGCGTTCACGGTCACGGGCCAGTGCTGCGCGATGTCGCTTTTCTAATCCGCTCCGAAACATGGACATCTCACTCTAATCCGACTTAATCCAATTGCATGATGCGAAAATAATATTTCAAACTGTTTTCAGCATTATTCCATGGGATAAGACCTCGAGACCGTTCCGCGAACCCGTCCAGCGACGAAACACGGTCTCGACAACCCGAGCCATATGGCGCAAGTCATTAAGCCATTGTCAGCTGCAGGCCGTCTGGCCAGCTTCGGCGCAGTGAGGTCATCGATCTCTCCCGAGTGCCGATTCCGCATTCCTCGGCTACGTTACGATGCGCTAATTAGCCACAATTTGCGATGTGATTGTTTCCAGTATTCTTTTCCAGAGTGATCTCGTTCTCATTCCGTGCTAGGCCTATCGTAGGCCCAATGGGAAAGTTCTCCGACGTTAGGCCTAATTCCGTTTCGTCGGTTCAACGTTAGGCCCAACCTGAGAGAGAAGAGTTCGTTTTCGGGGTCGAAGTTCGAGTTCCCATCGAGATGAATAATGCAGCCCAGCTGCAGCAGCCCCGCCAGCCCAGCCAGCAGCAGCCCACGGTGGAGCTGGAGTTCAACCAGGCCATGATGGACTTCAAGACCATGTTCCCCGAGGTTGAGGCCCAGGTCATCGAGGTTAGTTCTAATTGGATCTCAGCTTATCATTAGTTGTGTTATCATCTATGCTTGTTATTATAATCAATGTTTGCAATAATTGACATTCCACACGCCAACTCTTAGCTAGACTGAACCAAGGAGGTAAACATGAGGTAAACAATTTTTTTTTACTACCATGCCCAAACAAGGCCATGATGGCATTATTTGCTTGTGTGTAGGTGCATAGTGATGTAAATATGTATAACAAGCATGTAAATATTTTGAGGAAACTCAGGACCTTCTGCATGAGCCTTGTCCATGCATAGGCCTACTTCTGCACCATTCTTTGCTGTTTGTCTGAAAATGTGGGAGAACAAAGTCTCAGCCAGGTTGTTTTATCAACTGACTCAGCCATTTTCTAGGCCAGATAGGCTTGAATAGCCCAGGAGTCAATTTTCTTATCAGTATGTATCACTCTGTGATAAGATACAGGAAATTGAGATATGCCAGAGATAAGCTGAACCCTGTCCAAGCTTTAAAGAGGAGATTCACCCTATCTATCACCTTGTTGCATGAGCAGCTGTCACATTCCAGAGCTCAACCTGCACGATCCATTCCTCAGGGTCTTCCTCTGAGTGGAACTTGAGGCAAGATTAGCAATATGCAAAAAAAAAAATACATTTGTTTTGTGCTTCCAGCTGAAACCTCATCATGAATGAGATGGGCCTTATCTTGTCTATGACACTCACTTTTCCACATCAATCAGAAAGATGTTATCAGCTATTGTCGCCCAGGAAAGGAATGTGGTAAAAGACTACTCTAACAGGATCTAAGTGGTTCTTTATGCAAATGAGGCTTAATAAAAGTGGGGAGCAGTGAGGCATGAAACCAACCTTCCTGCTCTGTCCTCCCCTGCTGGGCTCCAGGAAACACAGACACAGATGAGAAGTCAGCTCAGTGCAGGATGGTGCTGAGAGTCGGCACGAGGGGACGGGTTCTGTCGTCTTCCATTGGAAAGTGAAAATTATTCCGAGATGAAATTGACTTTCTTGGGAGGTGCAAGTGGCTTGGCACTATCTTGGATCTGAGCTTGCTCTTTAAAGCAACAGTTATGTTTTGTGTAGGAAATACAGATAAGATATTTTGTTTATTGGTAGTATTTTGTTTTTTGTGCTTTGCTTTCTCTCTCATTAGCTTTGGCTTATGATGAGGTCTAGCATAATATATGTTATAATTTCATTGTCAGACTATGGATGTACAGCTAATATAGACTGCATTGGTTGAAATTGAGTTTGCCCTAAGATTCATTGCACATTATATATGATATATGTGGTTATTTTATCAGTTACAGAATTTTGAGACTGTAAACTGTTAGAGAACTTGGTGTGAAATTTTGCTTTTCACTCGACATCCATCAGACTCCGCCTGCCGACTCATTTTTGCCTCTTGCCCCCGTTCAGGCCGTGCTGAGGGCCAACGATGGGGTGGTGGACGCCACAATTGACCAGCTCCTGACCATGACATCGGACTCGCAGAAGAAGGAGGCCTCGCCGGTGAACTTCACGCCCTCGGACCCGGAGGAGCTCCCGCTCCGTGTCCTTCGCAACTGGAACCCTCCCCTCCTTGGACCGCTGCCCCACGACTTCCTCCGGATACGGGTGCCCCGTCTCCATCAGTCGCAGAGGCAGGTGGGTCGCCCTCGGAGAGAAGCTGCCCGTGCATTTATCGTGGAAATCCTCCTAGGGCAGTGCGAAAAAGTTGAGAGGATCCCAGTTAGACTTCTTGCAGTATTTCCTTCTCACCAGGAGATAGTTTCTTCTCAAAATATGACTAGATGCAAGTAAACAGTTTAAGCATTCTGTTTGCTGGTGATCTCTCTTAATATTTCTCTGGTCATTGGTTGCCTGCACACCAAAATTTTCAGAAATTCCTAGTCTGAAGGTTCTCTGCGAACATTTAAAAAATTTATTAAAAGATCTGACTTGAAACAACCTCTCTCAACTTCTTCCTTGGCAACATCTCACCCCCTGGTGATTCCAGGAAAAGGATGAATTCTACCTACTCCAGGGAATGGGTTAATCTCTTAAACCTCTGAGTCAGGTAGAAATGTCATCAGGAAAATTACTTGAACCAATCAAATTTGAGGACTCTGACAAATTCTCCTTCCTCATGATGATTACATCACAATTGGGAAACTTTGCTCCTGATCTTTCAGAACGAGGTCGTATCAGGAACATAGATTGTTTCTGATAAGGGGACTGAGTAGGCCCCCTTATCATGGTATGATGTTAACGAAAATGCATGGTACCTATCTGGACGTGGTTTTTTTGTGGTGCTCAATGAACCAAGGCACCAATACTTTCATGCATGTTGAGGGACATTCACTAAGTATATAATTGAGGTGTGCATCAGTATGCATTGACAAGTTCATCAGGTCTGGAGAGTTAGGGCAATGTGTTGTGTTGACCACCAAGAGCCAAACTCCAATAAATACAGTATCATGTGTAGACTACCCTTCCTTTTAGAGACTGCCAACAACCAGAATGCAAGAGTGGAAATGATGTAATCAGGGGTGCAAATGAAGTGCATTGCTTGAATCAGAAGTTGTGCATTGCAGGAGAAATGTTCTGTATTCTTCAAGTAAAAAAAAAGGGTGAAAGTATTTGTAATTGGCTGAAATGTTATCTCCTTAATAATGCCTTATGGAAGTGTGACCCTAAAAAAAAAATGCTGTGTAATGCTTCAGGGAATCTGGAGAATTTCCAGGGTACAGGTTTTTTGGTTTCCTGTCAATGGAATTCTTGGAATCCCAGCTGGTGATCTAATCGCTCCCCTTCTGTAACACCGACCTGATGCGAAGAGACAGCTCTGTGCCCGTTCGGTGCACGACTGTTCGGTTTTGTTTTCCTTCGTGGCTGTCGTGGTTGTGGAATCCCTGATCTCTGACAAAAGTCTTATGCCTTTCTGGCTAAAGCTGCATGTTTCACTTTCCATTCAAGTTTGGGCATTCTTTTCAAGTTAAAAAATTAAGTGCTGGCTATCCTGTAATGAGACTTCAGCCACTCAGGTGGCTAGAATGTCTCATTGTAGGACATTGAGTAGTGCATAGAAAGCAAAATAACCTGAGATCATTTTATACCTTTTGCCACTAAGACTTTTCTTGCTGTGAGGTGTAACACGGCACTTTTAATGAATGACATATCTTTGGGAATCATGTTGAGGGCGGACTGTCGACATTCACGTCATGATACTGGCAACCGAGATGAAAGTTAAAGCGAGAGCATCATGGTTTTCCTCACCTGACTCATTGTCGCATGGATTCAGATGAGTGCGATCGAGAAGGTTTCGTTTCCCATAACGCTGTAGTTGTAGTATGAGCTCGTTCGAGAGAGGGACGATAGCGGAGCCGGAGGCAGGACCGTGTGTGCCAGATCCCACGGGTTCGGCATTGACCTGTGACCTCCACCTGCGGGGGCAAGGTCTTGATGTTGAGGCTGATTGCCCGCACCTGGGGGAAGAGGGGGAAGTTTTGCAAGGATCGGATCCGGCAGTGTCGCGTGGTATCGCTCCGTGCGGAGTTCATTCACGACCGCGTGTGCGAAGGTCGGGTGGAGTCCCCCGCGGCGTCGATACATCCGCGGGGCCACGACTGATGCCCGCGGGGCTTTACTTGATATGACCGGCGGGCTCGGACGGAGCGTAACGTTTTATTTTCTATTGCGGTTGAACTCGATACCTCGGGGAAAGGCGTAATATGTGTGATAGAATGACCCTGACTAGCATAATGACTTGGTGTCGCAGTACGCCACATGCTGCGTCTCTTGATTTGTGTGTCAGCATCAGTATTCTCCGGTCATTCTGGTATTATATCGTGATACTTGACAGGAACGTGTGGGTCTCCTGGGTTTCGCCCTCGCGAGTGCTTAATTTAAGACCGGTTCGAGCGGAGCCACGGGTACGTGCTCCCTTGATCGGGCCTGAAAGTTTCGACCCGGCGATTGTCTACCTTCTGCGTTCCAACGCTCCCGCGGTCCGTGTTTTGTTGAAGCGGTGGGGCCCGCGGCGTGCTCTCAGAGGGGTGAAGCAGGGGGAATGCTGCAGGCGGTGCGTGACTCCACATCTCTCGTTGTCGTCCGGTCCCGCCCTTCTGGCATCACAGCAGTCACCTTTCTCTTTTTTATTGCTCATTTTTTTGTACCATTTGTGTTCTGTGTATCGAGAGCTCCCCGTTACTCCGCGAACGGTTCGCTTTAGGTGAAACGTGGAATCTCCTAGGACGTGGTTGCGGGCAATGTGCGCTTTGATCTGCCGAGTTTATATTGTTTCGGGTGGGGCATACGAGATTCCGCGCGGCGAATGCGTTGAAATGTAAGGGAAACTCCGTGATCTTCATGGAAGTGTTCGTGAAGTGCTTGAACGAAGTTGCCAAATACCTTTTTCATTAAAGTGCAAGTTATAGGATGTGAATGATGAAATAAGTTATAAAAGGTATTTCAGCAGTCATGTTCATACATTTAGAAAAAACTGATGTGTAAGCCATCCTGGCCATAACTTCATTCTCAAGTCGGCTGCCCTGTAGAGAGTCACTGTCGGTTTTGCCCTATATGGCATCCGCATAACTTCCCATGTGTTTAGTTAGATAAGTGTAATGCTACCCGGGGCGTGCCGTATCGCGTCCCCGAGTGCCTTATCAGATAAAGGAAGCGATCGTCGGTCAAAGCGACCCAGACCTCCTGTGGAGGGTGAGGGCGACGGAAGAGGTTGGAGATGGACGGAAGCCGTCGCTGTGCGTGGTGGCGTGAGTGGGTGGGTGCGTGCGGGTGCACCCGACTGTGGGAGTGGGTGTGCTGGCCGTGGGAGTGGGTCAAGGGGAAGTGGAGGCGGTTGCGGGAGCGGTGGGAGGGGTGGGGGAGGCACAGAGTGAGGCGACGGTGGGTGCGGCGGGAGCGGAAGTACCAGAAGGATTGCGCCCGGATCCGGGCGATTGAGATGGAGCTTATCAATCGTCCCCCGCCTTCTGATCAGGTGACTCCAGGGGATCATTTGAACGGCGAATGGCGCGATTTTGTAGACCCAACTGCTGAAGTTTCCACTAAAATTTTATGAGTCATGTGTTCAATTTTCGATGAGTACGTCCATATGGAAGTCTGTCAATTTGGACTGGAAATGGGTCAAAATTTTCAGAGGTAAAACAGAGGTCAAAGTTATCAGCAGTCAGTATTAAGACAAATAAGTCAGTATTTACGAACTGATCCTGACTGGCAAGAATCCATTTCAGTGCTTAGGATGGAAGGTTCCCAAAAACTTTCCATCTTATTTGCTCTGCACAAGTTCTATTCCATGTTGACTAATGCCAGACTGACAGTTTTGTCTGAAGATAAAACTGATAAAGAATCTGTATTCTGTAACTATGATGGGCATTTTTTTGTGGGTGTGCTGTCTTGGAGACTGCTTGTGTGCATGTCAACTCAGCCATGGCATTTTCACTCAAGGCTGAACTTGTCTTTTTTTGAAGGGTTACCTTCCATTTGCCAACCAATTGACATTGTGGTAGTGTTTGGTTTTCCGGGTGATATTGAATTGAAAATGTCTAAGTATTAATAACACTATGGGGAAGTTGCATTTGAATGATTTAGCTTCAGCCCTGGCTTTTTTGGTCTTTTCCCACTATCTTTGCTTTCCTTACAGGACTGCTTTCTGCTAATGCATGGTGTTACAAGTGGAAGATTACCATCACCTGACTTGAGTTTATGATAAGATAATTTGGTTTGTTATTGTGGAACATTTATGTTTGTATCACCAATACTCACACAAGAGTGAAACTTTATGAGAGAATTTTGGCTGAAAGAAGTTCAGTCATCCCAGCTTGGCAGTACAGACAAGGTTGGGATGGAGGCTATTTCTGCTCAAGAAGGTGTAGAGACTTCATTTTGCAGTGGAATCTTGTCGTGTGCTTGTGAAGCAAGTGGAGTGGCATTTAAAATTCGCCCCCTTGTTGTTGCAGGCCCTAACCCTGTTGGCAGGGAACCAGCTGAAAGAGAGGCTGGCCGAGAACGAGCGGCAGCGCGGAGCGACCACCGACCCGTCGGAAGTGCAGCTCCTCAACGACGAGCGTCTCGCCATCTTCCTCCAGAACGAGGAGTTCATGCGGGAGCTCAGCTCCAATCGAGAGTTCCTCGAGGCCCTCGAGCTCGGTCGGTACCATCTGCCCGCTGGGAGTCGTATCTGGGGCGTTCGAGTCGCTTAACCGGTCCTAATTCGTTTGGTTCTGTCATTAGGCAAGATGTAATGCTGGGAATGTAATGGGATTGAAGAATTATTCTAAAAGTTATATGAGCTTTTAGTCCTGTGGATTAGTTGACTTTAAGGTTTGATTTCTGTCTGAGGGTGAAGGTAGTAGTCAAAGCAAGGAAGAAAAGTCTGAAAACTCATCTAAGATTATACTAGCAAGTTTATCGGCCATTTCCAGAAGGTATCAGGCACTGGACCCTTTCTTATCCCATTTAAGGAAGAATGGAACTGCTTGCTTAAATAGTGATTATTTGTTGGGAAAAGATGTGATTGTGTATCTTCGGAAAGTAATCGGTGCCTAAATCGTGGAAACTATTTGGCTGCCTGGCTGGTCTCAGTAATACACCAAATGCTTGCTCTGCCTGTGGCTTAGAGTAATGTTTCATTTTTGTTACTTTTATGTCCTGCTTCGTCCTTGGGGTCTGGAAAGCTGTGTCAGAGAAAGAATGGAGCTTTTCTTTTTTTGACCAATAACCTTGCATCTATGAACTTTGCCATTCCAGAAAAAAATAATTTTAAGTTAGGCCTTTTGTCATATTCCCCATGATGATTATTACCAGATGATTTGAAGAATTGAAAAATTCTGTGCTGATAAACAAACACCTATATGATCCTTGATCTGCTTAACCTGTGATCAAATTGATGCTTAAGACCTGTCCACCAGTCACTCATCGTGCCTGGCATCATGTCGTTTCGTTGCAGATTCGCCGTCTGCCAGCAAGAGCAGCAGTCACTCGAGCGGCAAGGACGACCTCGAGGCCTTCCGCGAGCGACTCCGCAACATGGGCAAGAGTGAGTCCTTGGATTTCAGGGGGCAGGTGATCTTGTGGTTTGGTTGGGATTATAGAGTGCTCTCTTGTTTCATCCAGCTTCCAAGAAGAAATTTGCTCAGCTGGCCCGCATGTTCCACATCAAGAGGCGAGGCGGTGCATAGTATCCTTTTCCGTCGTGTCTGCCGTGTTTGTTCAAATTTGAAGGATTAGTTGTCAGTTTAATCATCCTTAGGATTAGAATTTGATTTGATTGATTAGGATTTGCTGTATCGATCCTTTGATCGGAGATTGGACATTGGATCGGCCGAATCAGGTGTTTTCCATCAAATCTGCAAAACCTATCGTTGGGCCAGTCAATTTTCAAATTTTTTGGGGCACAGAACTTTCCTTTTTTCAATATCCTGGCATATTGTAGCAGGCCAGGGAACTCTTATGGGGAGGCAGTGGTAGACCCGATCTGCATTTACTCATTGAATGGAACTCAAAACTTAGGAGCGTGTCGCCACGAGTGAGGCATTGTGAGGAGCGCACCTTCTTCCTGCAAAATGGCAGTGGACATAAGGGCACGTGTGAGGAGCTGTTGCATTCCAGTGAATCATCTAAGAAGTCCTGGCTACTGATTTTTTCTAAAACAAATGTGAAACCTTGAATGGTCCTGATTCTATTAAATGTGTGGAGGCCTCAAGAAGCAACCTTCGAGCATGCAGCGCGATGGGCCGACGCCGAATGTCGGTTGCGCTTGGCTTGTCGTGAGTGCTGCATATGGCCTCTCCTGGACTAGGCCTTTGTGATTTTTGTTGATTTTGGAGAAAGTCATGATTTTAATTTGAAGAAAGGGTTATTGTAGAGGTTTTTCACCTCATGCTTAATGTGGAACCGATGCCTGTAATTCATGTTCACTCTTTCATGGGCAGTCGGAAGAATTCTTCCCAGTAAACGTTTGATGCCAGCGAACATTTTTTTTTATTGCCAGATGAACTTCCAACATTTCAAGAGGGAATTTAACTATTATAGATGAGTGATTTCAGTAATTTCACACTTTCAGCGTGAATGATTCCCTTTTCCTTTCATTTTTGTGCATGAGTTCCAAAAAAAGTCCAAGAGACATTCTTATCACAGTTCTGGGTCATTCAGAAATATTGCATGGAACGGAAGTCTATCTATTGGTATAGTATAGTTTGCCTAAGCCAATTCTTGCTCCTTAGTCCTGCAGTCTTTGCAAAAACATGGTAAATAGCTTTAAACTGGGTCCATTGTAAGGGAATGGTACTGAATATTATGCTCCTGGGGTGGTATGCAGGAGAATTAAAATGAATATTCTGATCTTGTAAATGAGAATGAATCCTTGATGGATCCTTGTGCCACTTCAGCATGTCGCATGGATCGGCCCCCTCAAAGGACCATCTCCTGCTCACTTCTGAGCCCTTGATGGACGACGATGAGCTCGACTATGACCGTGATGACTTCCCCAAGGGCAGCCACAATCCTCAGGTTAGACTTGGTTTTGTTCATTGTTTTACCCATTTCAAATATATATTGAATAATAAAAATGGTAATTCTAGACAGAGCATGTCATTTAGTTTTGTTAATGGGAATGGAAGAAATTAGGACCCTAATTTGATCATTTCTATTATTTCTGTTTTTATTTCCTTCCATGGCCATTGTTAAATCATTGCTCCAAATGCATGGCCTGAATCTCTTGCCATTGTTTGTGTTTCTTGCTTCTATTCATGTTTTTTAAATTATTGAATTATATGGGCTCAGTTATAAAAAAAAATTGTAGTATTTGACCACTGCTAGGTATTGGTTTGAATTTTGAAATCTGAACAATTGCAGGTTCATGTCAGATTCAGCCTAATCTATTTTGTCTCATATCATCATGTTTATAATTTTGATGCAGTGTTACACAGAACCAAGTATGTTCCCCAGTAGGCTTGCCTATATTCAGCAGATTCTTTCTGTTCCATTCTGCACGTGAGCTCAAATACTACACTGTTGTTGCCCATGACTTCTGAGCTCAATGAGGCTTTGAAAATTAGAAGTAGTTGTGAAGCAAGGATGACCTGGTTTTGTAGGTGATTTTACTTGTCCGCATCGACTCGGTACCCAATTTGTCCGAGAGACCTTTTTATAGACGATTCTGCTTGCTTCTGTCCTTGCAGGGAAGTCACGTGGACCCCTCACCTGCTCGGCGACCTCAAGGAGGTGGGAAATTTGAACCCCTCTGAAGGAAGCAGCTTCTTGATGGAATGCGAGTTGGAGGAAGCTCCCCGATGCTCAGTGGGCTGGCCTGCAACAGGACACTTGAAATATGATATTACCTAAGTCCCCTCTCTCCTGGGTACCTCGATAAGGTGTCGGTGTCGAATCTCACTTGGTGTTTTTGTCTGGTTTTGCCCTGCTGGCCTAAGTCAATGCATGTCAGCGGAGTCGTCCGCGACCCGACGAGGAGCGAACTCTGCCGGCATCGGTGCCAAATCCCGATTCTCTGTGGTGCAATATGCTCTTAAAATGATATTGCTAAATCTTGCAGAAGCTATCCATTTAGTTATGAGATCAGGTCTGGTGAAAACAGCTTTACCTATCATAATATAAATGCTAAAGGGTTCTTATTGACATGGGAAGTTTTTCCTGCATATATATTCCAATAAGGATCTCTTTTTGTGTGCATGCAAGCCTGAAAGAACGCGAGAGGCAGAATTGAACTCGCAGGCAAAAGTTTCAAGGATCGGCACAGTCGATGTCATGACTTCATATCAAATTCTGTGGAACATCCCAGGTGCTTTCTTCCCACGATGGAGTTCTCGGCATCCTCCTTCAGATGTGCCGTTCGGCTTTCCACACGCCGCGGCTTTCCACGTTCCCGTTGGGAGCGACTGAAAAAGTTATTTTCCTATATGTGATAGCCTGCGTGAAGATCCTACCCCTGCGTGATTCGAGGACCTTGGATGGATTCTCATTTTATTTATTCCATGTGCAGATGGAGTTGAGGTCTTGTTCCTATGTGTGAGTCCCCTGCTGCACGTTTCCCCTGTGTATGATGGTCGGTATGATGTGCAAAGGGTAATCAATGTCTGGAGCCAGTTGGGCCAGCCTCTGGTATGTCGAGATTCGCAACTGGGTCTGAGTCACTCTTGAAGACTTTTGTCTTGAGCAGGTTTTTCATTTGGCATCCTAATGTTATTGAGCCACAAAAAGCCATTTCGTGTTGGAAGACCCGATAGAGCAAGTCCATGACCGAAAACATCAGAGCAATGTTTTTTGGGTTGATTTTGCCCTGTTGGAAGGACTGGTGCTTTATATACTCACATTGCATGTATGTAGGGTTTTCACCACAATCTGTGATTTGCTGAGTGTCGAGAATGCATTGCTGATAGCTCTCCTTCTGATGTTCCAAGAGAAGGACTGAAAATATCTTACTAACTATAGTATGCAAGTATAATCATTTCTGTGCTGTCTGAAGTCAGTTGCAGAAAGGTTCATTCTGTCAACATAGACATTCTGGTACGATTTCATCTCTTAAGTGGTATTTTCCCAAGATAGAAGAATGCATCACCGAATATTCTATCTTGTCTAACTTTTATTTGGAGACTCAATGGAAGACTGATGAAAGCAACTTTGGGGGGAGTGCGACTCGCGCATTTGCAGATGCGAGATTTTTGTGCGATTTCCTGGCAGCCTTGTCTGTGCTGCCGTTTGCAGCCTTTTTTCTCGCTTCCAGGAATTAACTATGGTTGCTAGAATGAAACTGGCAGTTTAAGTTGCTGACTGGTGTGTTCATAGCAGCGAGCGATTCTCAAGATTCTGTGAGCGATTGAACAGTTTGCAGCAAAAGTCTTGTTTTTCCTGCTAATATATCCAAAACTGAGTCGGATTATTCCTGTTCCTTAACCATATCAATCTGGTTTTTGTTTTTTTCCTGAAATGATCAGGGTCAGTATTTTATTTATTTATGTATTTTCTGGAGGTACAGATACATCATTGCTTCTGCAGATTATCAAAGAAAGTATTTGCATTTGGGAATTAAGAAATAAAATTGGATGCTGTGTTCTAGAACAAACGATCTGAACGATTCTCTCAAGATGTCTTCTCATCCTCGAGGAATGTCTGGTGTTCGGTGATTCCCACTTTTTTTTCATATTGAAATATGAGAGACTTGCATTTTTTTTGCAAGACTTCAATGCCAAGGAGCTAACAACAAAAAACCAGGCCATTTGTTCATCGTGCATGCAAGATGGAACATGAACTGGCAGTGTTGTGTATCGGCCCAGTGCAGGTCCAGTTTTGTTTCCCACGGTGGATAAGGCTTATTTTGGTCATTTTCAGCATCAGCCATTTGTCTTCCCCTTCCCCTCGTAGATGTTCATGTTGCAAGTAGCTTTGGAGTTTCATATTTCATGTCCTTCGTTTTCCATTGCTCTTATTTATGTGACAAATGAGTAGAGCCAAGAATGACATCGATGGACTCCCGATGCCAAGAAAGGTGAAAATAATTTGAATGACCGCTCCCTCATGGGGAGCTCGGAACAAAAAAGACTATTGTTCAATTTAGTCATGTTTTAAATTGTTCCCAGACTATTTTATTTGAATCTCCAATTAATATATTTTACTCGACCTTCATTAACTGAAGAGGGGCAAAATCAACTCAGAAGCATTTGACTCAATTAGCCGAGTGAAATCGAGAACTGTTACTCGCGCCTGGTTGGTAGAAGGCGGCGAAAGCCAGAAGGCGGCGAAGGCCAGAAGGCGGTCGCAGAGGCTGGCCCCTCGGCGAGGAAAGAATCTTCGGAGTGCCTTCTGCGCCCAGACGCGGTACCAAAGAGAGCTGAGAGTATTGCTGTTGTGACTTCGTTTGTGGAGAAAGTTTTTATTTGTATTCTATTTGTCTCGTCCGGAAGTGTGTCATTTGCCTTCACTCGGTCCCAGCAAGTAATAAATATCATTCCTCGTAATTCCCAGTTTTGTTGATGCTACAATCCCCAGCCTGTTTTAAAATGTTTAAATCGCCTGTCAGCATTGCATGAAGGTGATTGGATTGGTGATTGGCGATTGGAAGCCTCGGAGGAACGAGAATTAAAAATTGGATTTCTCGACGGCACTTCGGTGCAACAGTCTGCTCTGGCGAGGAAGTTATTTGACATGTTGGGATCCTCGGCAGGGGAAGGATCCTCTCCTGCCCCTCCCCGTCGCTGCAGTGGTTCTTCGCAGCCCTGGCCATCCGCGCGTGAGACACAGAGAAGGGAAGGAGGTTCGTCGCATGGGTGGGTGTATGGTCCTCACCCACCTCGATGTCCAACCGCCGTGCGCACTGTGAAAGAAGATCGTTTTACCGAAAGTTTTCCAATTAAGGAAATTACGCCTTAAGGCAGGGTCCTGCCTGTTCCTGACGTCTTGGAGAACTGTCTGGGATGGTACCAAGTACTGTTAACTGTTGTGTTTAAACACAACAGTTAATAGGACAGTAAATCACGAAGGTGAATCTATGATTTTGTTTTGTTTTTTGTTTCCTAAAATAAATGGAAGAATGTCATGTAAAGTTGGCGATGTAAAGTTGGCGTTGCAAACAACACTTTCTTCATAGAAAAAACTTCTCTGAGGTTGACTGACTCAGTCAGTCTTCCATGCAAGCGCTATTTAGGAAAATACCCCCGCATTTTCATTTAAGCAAAGGCACAAAGGAAATAGATCAGAAGTGAAAGAAACATGTCGCGGTCGGAGTTCCTCCACAAAAGAAAAAAAAACCTAAATCAACGAAGATCTGGCAACACTGCTGAAGAAAATGGCCGACGCCACAGTGGAACCGCATGGGCATCGACCGGAGAGCGAGTCGCTGGGGGATTGTGAATGTGGTGGTCGCGAGAAATTAGAGTTCTGGTCGTTTGATCACGTAGCGTACATGGTTTGTGCATGGACCAGATTGCAAGGTAGTGCTGGCCGAGACTGAAGCGATTGAATTTGGTATTCCTCTGTTTAGCCACGTGCAATTTAACTTAGGCCTAAAGTTGTGGCATGCGTATTGGGAACATTTGGGGACTAGCCTAGGCCTAGGTCCAGAAACTCGCATTTGAGTACAATGTGGAACCAATAGTAATTATCGTAAGTATTGCAAAAGCAGCATGCTTGATGGAACTCCCTGACCACTTTGGATTAAGGTTTTCGAGAATTCAAGGTCTAAGAAAAGTTAAAGGAACTGCTCTGCTTTAGTTTGAACAGTTATCCCAGGAGAGGTGTCATTCTTGTAGGCACAGCATGCAAATATATTTACATCCATATGTATTAAGTAGGAAGCTGGAAAAAGAAAAAGAAATTGACTTCTTTGACTTTTTAACTTCTTTGCTTAAGCTGTGCCAAAACAATGAAATGTCATGCACAAGGGCCAAATTGTAGCCTGGGGACTCGAACTCGTGTGGAGCATTGCTCCGACGTGCCCTGATGCATACACGTTACCGCTCGCTCCGAGTCTCGTGCGACTGGTGGGTGTTCGGTGGTGCGCTTCCAGGCAGAAGTTGGGGCATTTGGTGGAAGAGGGAATTGGGGAAGAGGTCAAATGGAATGGTGAATGGAAATGTATCCTTAATGATTCCAGCCTATTCCTCATGATTTGAGAAATTTCTGCAGTCTTGTGTTGCTTGCAGGCCCACATTTTCTCCATGTCCTCTCTCTCTTGTTTTTAACTGCTGAGTATATCCTGCAGTGCATTCACTTTAGATTCATGGTACCTTTGGTATGCATCAGAACACCACTGAATGGTGTGAAGATGCACCAAGTTTTATCTTACAATATCATGAGAAACATTACTATCCCATCATACCTTCATCCATGAGCAAAAATGAACATGTAAAACCATGAAAGCTTGCCTGTGATGTTTGTAAAGACACCTTGGGAGAACCACTGGCATGTATATTACTTATTGATTTCATATTGTGACTATTATAATTATATTAGAATATTTAAGGAAAACAACAGCTATCAGACAATACCTTTCAGTTTAGGCATACTTTAAAGCAGCGATGAGCAACCTTTTCTGCCTGCAGGCTGCAAATGAACCTTTGAGGTTCCCAGCAGGCTGCATCTATTCCCCCCCCCCCCACTGAATTACAGGTTTTATGCCTTCTGAGTACCAAAATAATTCTAAGCCTGGCTTATTAAATCAGGTACTAAAATAGTATATGGTAATGATTTACATTAACTAATTTTGAAATTTCTTCTCATCTTTTTACCGAGCAAAATACCAAACAAGGTGCTTGCTCAGGGAGCAGTCATGCACTAACCAAGAAGAAAGTGAAGGGATATTCGCAACTGTGGTGGAAATATAAATTTGATGTTTAATTTATTGCTTGCATTTCTCCTGCAATGGACAATGGAATCCTTGAACGCTCTGCTCTGCATGGCAGGTGACAGGAAAAAAAAATTCAGTTGACAGAGCCCCACGGGCCGCACACTAGGACCTTGCAGGCCACGTGTGGCCTGCGGGTTACTCATCACTCCTTTAAAGTCACACTAAACTAAATAAGTTTGAGACTGAACCCAGTTTTAAGTATTTTGGATAATTTCTTGAGTGAAGCACGTGTAATCTCTTCCTTCGTCTCGTTCGTCCCGTGCCTGTCCCCGAGATGCATTTTCTGATCCAGCCATCTCTTTTGTGAGCATCATTATGCTCTGCAGAGACAGTGTGCAGCAGGTGCTAGCCTCACCACTTTCTTTTAGCGTGTGGGCCCATCGAACGCGGTAGTACGATACGTCAGTGAAGCGGGGGCAGGGCACGGCAGAGAGACTCTTCTTGTCTCTACCCAATGGGAACAGATTGGAAGAACAAGGGCTTTTGTTTGGACAGGCAGAAAAATTGTAGTAAAAAAGGGAGTCGCTGTTTTGTGCGAATGATCGCAGGGCACACGATGGCACGCGTGCTTCTCTGCGAGCGAAGCCACTGCCGCTGGGGATTTTTAACTGTTTGAGACGAGGTTAGATGCCTTCCTGGACGGCACAAAGAAGGCGGCCGGGAAGATATACATCATAATTTACTGTCTAATCTCCATTGAATCTTTTTTTGAGATCTATATCTCTGAGAGGGGTTGGCTTGTCATATTTTATGTTAGTGCTCAACTTTGATACAGGTTATCATGATGGAAAATGCCTCTTGATGGCTTGAGGCAAGCCTTCATCATAGTGAATCCTGACAGAAACGCCTTACTCATTTGTAAGGGGCAAAAATGGGGTTTTATGTACACGGTTTCTGTTTGTCGTGTTGATGCCGGCCGAAAGACTTTATTGCCGTTAGCCTGATGTTGGAAGACCTGGAGCCAAAGCTTTTTTTTATTATCCCATGTGCCATTTGCCTATGTCTTGACATTTCATTGAATATGGCTTCATTTGTTTCGCTCATTGAAACATAATGTCCTCGCCTGAATGAATACTAGGATTATCGGTCAGCCTATTAGGAGTTAAAGTACTGCTGCTGACATGTTAGATTCTAAGTAGACATCACAAGTTAACATTTTCTTGCATCGAATTGAGTATGTGGAAGAAAATTTTCTCTCCGTCTGCAAGGTCTCAGGGCGAAAGCAGCCCAGATGCCAAAGAGCCCCGAAGACTTCCAGAACCGAGGCAGCGGGAAATCGGATCGCTTCCAGTACGACTCGAAGAAAGTCGGCTTCGCGTACCGGAACCCGCGGGCGTTCGTCGCGATCGGCACGGCCGTCGTGCTCGGGATCGTCTTCAGCCGGCCGATCTACGAGCTCTTCTTCCGGGACCTGGTGGAGGGGCGGCCGCCGGAGGGGACGAAGCGCCGGATGAACCCGCTGGGGATCGGGGTCCCGTTCACCAACCCGATGGACTATCCCAAGCGGACCGAGGGATGAAGTCGGTGCAGTCGGCCCGCGCCCGAATGCGCTCCTACCCGCGTCTGCTGCAGGAATGCTCGCCGCAAGCGAGCGCTTATGCGAAGTGCGTGTCGCTGGACTTGGACGTGCGGAAGGATGCGTGTGCGAAGGAGTTCGAGGCGTTCGTATCGTGTATCCGTAGTGCTGCCGTGAAGCTCGGCACCCGATTGTAGTGAATTCTAGTCGACATGTCGTTCTGGTTCCACGCCTCGTCCGCATTGGCCATCCGGCTCGGCCTCGTGTACTACGGCAAGCTGCAAGACGAACAGTTCCTGGTGAAATACACCGACGTGGACTACCACGTCTACACGGACGCGGCTCGGCACGTCCACGAAGGCGGCTCGCCCTACGACCGACACACCTACCGCTACTCCCCCCTCCTGGCCTATCTCATGCTGCCCAACCTCCTCCTCAGCCCCCACTTCGGGAAGGCCCTGTTCTGCCTGGCCGACATCCTCTGCGGGTACCTCATCCACCGCATGCTGAGAGACCGGCACGGAACGAAGACCGCGACCCGGTGCGCCTGGCTGTGGCTCTACAACCCGCTCCCGATCGTGGTCTCGAGTCGAGGCAACGCGGACTCCCTCGTCGCTCTCCTCACCCTGGCGACCGTCTGGTTCCACCAGAAAGGGCAGGTCGTCAAGGAGGGATTCGTCTTGGGGCTGGCCATTCACTTCAAGATCTTCCCTGTCCTCTACTCCCTTCCGCTGTACCTCAGCCTGTCGGATTCGAAGTGCGACTGGAAGAGGGCGCTCTTCCCTCCCAACCGGAAGCAAGTCAAGCTCACTCTCTTCACCGTGCTCACGTTTCTCGCTCTCTTTGTCGCCTTCTACGCGTCGTACGGATGGGATTTCGTCCACGAGACGTACTTGTATCACGTGATGCGCCGAGACACGAGGCACAACTTCTCGGCCTTCTTCTACCTGCTGTATCTCAGCCTGCCCGACACACCGCGGTTGCTCTCGTTCGTCCTGCTCCTGCCCCAGGCGGTCCTGGTCCTGCAGTCGGCGCTGGAGCTGTACCGGCCGGCGACGCTCCACCTGAGCCTGTTCCTGCAGACGGTGGTCTTCGTGACCTTCAACAAGGTCGTGACCTCCCAGTACTTCCTGTGGTACCTGGCGCTGCTCCCGCTGGTCGCCCCGCGCCTGCGGCTCAGCGTCCTGCACGCGGCGGTGCTGGTGGTGATCTGGGGGTTCGCCCAGGCGTCGTGGCTCCTGCCGGCGTACTTCCTCGAGTTCGAGGGCCGCAACGTCTACCTGTACGTGTGGATCGAGAGTCTCGCCTTCCTGTGTGCCAACATTGGGGTGGTGGGGAAGTTGGTCAAGTCCTACCACGTTGGAGATGATTGATCGGGGCTGCTCGTGGACGCGTCGGGGGGTCTGTCGCCAAGGTCTTGTGGAAATGTGGGATGGTGAAGGCATCCATATCAGTGTTTTTCATCTTTGGTACTATTTTTAAATATTAATATTTCCCATCGTTTTCGCCAAATTTTCCAGTTTAGACTGTCATGTATTAGCCTTTATTTATGCAATTTTGATCAAATAATCATCAGTAGCAGCTATAGCATTCACTATTAAGTGAAGAGCCAGACAGTCCTGAAGCAAAAGGAAAATGAAGTCACTTGTGATGATAGTTGATAGATAACCCCTATACTTCCACGTCCCAAATGGGTATGAAAATGTGAAAATTGTCAAGAACATTATGCATTATGTGAAAGTGTAACGCGAATTTCTCCGCTTCTGCCATGATGGATAGCTTTCACGTTGATTGCTCAAGCAGTGGTGAAGTATGATTTAAAATATGGAAGATCTCCTCGCGGCGTATCAGATTCCCCAAGGGCGGAGTTCACGCTTGGAGGCCTGTATGTGGAACCCTTATTTAGTGAACGTCTTAGAGGTATTTGAGGAATAAACTCAATCCGAAAAATTGTTGGTTCTTATGTATTTAGTAATTGTGTTCTCGTTAAAAAAAAAAATTTGAAACTAAGCCGGGAACATATGAACGAAGTGAAGGAGAAGAAAGTGACAGACTGGATTTGGTTGACCCTAAGGATTCGTGTAAGCCAATTGAATGCGAAGGGTTATTAACTTTCAGTTTTTGGGCTCTATGCTAGCAGATTGACTAACATTTCTTTGCCGAGGACTGAAATAAGTGAGCGAAAGTTTTCTAATTAATGAAAAATTGCCTTCAGGGACTTCTTCCCTTCGCGGTTAAACATTCGAAACGGCCCAAATAGCGAAGGGCCGAAAGAAGAAAGGAAACCTGCAATTTCTCTGGCGCCGCCTCAAGTTCTTCAGTCGTTCGGCAGGCTTTCTCTGCACTGCTTGACCGTGACCTTGAAAACCTTGCTCGATTTCCTCACATTTTCCAGAGGTTCTGTTCCGCGTTGTTCGTTTCCGGCGATTGGTACGGCGCAAACGTTCACATTTAAATTTGAGCGTTTCGGGAGTTTCTTCCGGGAATATGAACTCTGCTCCCTTGAATTTCTTCTGCTACCAGCTGTGCGCCCAATTTAATCAAGATTGGGCTACTCCTTACATTTTTTTCGACGAGTGCACGAAAGATGGCATGTATTGAAATATGAGAAACTATGCATATCTTCGTGCATGAACATTTCTATTGAGAATAATTTTCCCGGAAGTTCCTAGTCCCGTTTGCGAGTTCGAAGAGCAAACAAATTATTTTTCCTTCCCTGGAAGCGCAGGATAAAACCAGTCTCAACGAGTGAAGTCTGTATTTACCGATGCAGAGAATTGCATTAAGGAAAAATGAAGGCTTATTTCTTTTCTCCTCACGAACGGGCGGGCAGACCTTCCGCGGGAACTCGACGTGGCTGACATTCCTGGACGCGCGGAGGAGCTCCTATCGGAACTCGTAGACGGTCCTGGGATCGCTCCGGTCGCACGGGGGCTCCTTGGACTTTTTTTTTTGCAGACCTTTTTTGTTGACCTTTCCTGTTGACCTTTCCTGTTGACCTTTCGTTTTAAATTGCTTCTGATCTGGTCATTCCGTGAGACCAGGTAATTCAATTGCATTGGTCTTTTTTTTTTCAGGGTTCAGTTACCGGAACTCTAATTTTTGTGTGAATTTCACCTGAAAAAAAAAAAAGATTTGCGTAAATTGGGGGAATTTCAACCGCCTTGGAAAGGAATTCGATAAGAACGATGACAAAGAACTGAAGGCATGAAATCGGTCCTATTTACCGCTAGACGGAAGAAAAATTCAAAGCAATGTTCGTCTGTGCCAAGGTCAAGACCGCTTTAGAACCAAATGGTCCTTTATTGCAGAAATAAAGGCGACATCGAGAGAAAGACGGGAGCAACCTGAAAACGGAGAAAAAGAGATTTCGGGAAAGGCCGATCAAAAAATCCCGGCGCAGAGGAGAGAACCTGAACGCACGATCAAGATGGAAATTCTCTCATTGCGCCGTCGCCTCGGGGACATTTCGACTCCGGAGGAGTTTTCCGAACGTTCCGTCATTCTTCTGATCGACCTGATCCGGAATTCTTTTCTCGTTATTCCATGGAATGCATTGCTCAGGAAGGAGTGTTGGCAGCGTAGTAAATTTTTTTTCTCCCCCCCCCCCCATATTTTTAAACACGAGGTTTTAACAGGTTTAACAGGTTGAGGTTTAAGTTTTACACATAGTGCAGCGATGGCATCCGGCCCCCATAGTCGCCGTACTCGGGGTACGTAGTCTCGGCTCGGGCGCCCGTCTGCACCAGCCTCGCGACGTCGCCCTGCAGCGTCTCCGGCAGCTGGTCCGGGTAGATCCGCTTGTAGGGCTTCCCGTCGCGGTCGACGAGGAACTTCTCGAAGTTCCAGCGGATGTCGCTGCTGTCGAAGGAGTCGTAGAAGAGGCGCTCCTTCTCGCGGAATCCGCTCACCGCCGTCGGGCACACGCTCTGGCGGTAGGAACAAAAAAAAAATTTAAAAACTTATCGGAACTGTCATTTTTCCGTTCTGACGTCATCTGCTCCACGATGAATGCTCTTCGGATTGCTCAGCGGGCAAATTCTCGGTCGAGGGGGAATTTCGAACGCGCCGTCTCCCAAAAGGGCTCAACATGAGTTTAGCGAGACTGTTCTGCTATGAAGCCTGGCCCTGCATTCTTCACCGTCTCCATCCACTAATCCACCACAGTTCCCTCGCCCGTCTCTGCAATTCGATCCTCACACTGCCATCTCTTTATTATATTTATCATCATTTCGTGACCGCGAACGAGACGCACGAGCTTCCTTCCCTTCAGAATCTTTCTAAAGCAGCAACTGAGGATGGAGGGTGGATGGTAGATGAAGGGTGGATGGTAGATGGAGGGTGGATGGTAGATGGAGGGTGGATGGTAGATGGAGGGCGGAGGGCGAAAGGAAGCCGACTCACTTTGAGATATGAGTAGAGGGGGATGGTCCCATTCCCGTTCACCTCCACCTTGCGGAAGAGGTGGAAGTTCGGCACGAATCCTCCGCCGGGGCGGACGTGCACCACCCCGTTGATGATCTCCACCCCGTCTCGGCCTGGTTCTTGCTGTCCGGGTGCAATCGCGGATGAGTCCAGAGCGATATTCGCGAATCGTTCCAATCCGAAGGATACATAATTAAAATGAGAATGTACTTTGGGATGTTTTAGTCAGTGCTGGCGTCGGAAGGAACCAGCGCTCCTCCAAGCCCCGACCGAAAAATTCCAGGTTAAAAGACGGAAACCTCCGCCGTTCGCGAGAAGCATCGGGAGAGCGCCGAAGAGGCCGACATTCCGCTTCGTGGACTCGGGCAAGGCCGCCTCTGGCTCAAGGACCCGAGAGCGCGCTCGTTCGACTCGGAACTCCGGTCTGCCCTGGCAGACCGTGGTGGCCGCATCGAAAAGGCGAACCTCTCGGACTCCGAGGATGTCCTCACCCTCACCTCTGTCCGTGAGCTATGGCCATCACCAAACGAACCAGATTGAGGAATGAAGCTGCCTTGGGGGCAGTGCCAGCGCCAAACAAGTTGGTAATCGATATTTGGTAATTAGTCTCGTATTAGTTTTAGTAATTGGTAATTGGTATTTGGCATTTGGTAATCAGTAGGTATATATTAAACGGTACTACATCACGAAGCTTTGTGACTCACGGCTCAGTATTACATGAACTGAGTCCGCCAAAGATCGTGAGCGATGCAGGGCTCTCCTGAGCTTTTTTTCGAGCTTTTTTTCCCCACCCATTCCCACGTTGCGATGAACGACAATGAAGAATGATGAATGATGGTAGGACGAAGCCGTGATATGCCTCGTGCCCTCTTCCTTCGAGTGCCGAATGGTTACAATTGCCATCCGTTTTCGTCCGTCATGGAATTGCAGCATTCCAAAGAAAAAAAGCGGGAGAGGTTTCTCCACGCCTAACCGGCGAAAATCGCCCAGAACTGCGAGCTCCATTCAAGGCAGGCCTCATTTGGGGCTCGGGATCGCCGAGGGCGAACGCCCTAGCCTTCAAGGCCGTCTGTCTTTCAATGTCAAAATGACATCGAGGGGAAAAGGGGGGGGGGGGGGGGGGGGGGGGGGGGGGGG